ACATGAAGAAAGCAAATAGTCTAGATATGTCTCAGATGATAAAAAACAAAGTGAATATACCTTTTCACTTTTTGAAGTACACATAACACTCGGATTTAAATCCGATGTTTTCGCATTTATTTCTTTTTCTTTTGAAAAAATAACTTTTTAATTTTATCGTTGGAAGTAAAGTATATGTCCTTGACCTCTTTTCGTTTTTGATATCTCACAGTTGAGACAACACGATTATGTAATAGAATTTATTTTTCTTATGTTTACAAGCTGCGTCCTATATATCATCATTGTATAAACAGTATACTCGTTATGCATAATTGTCCGATATTAATTAAGAAAAGTTCGTGAAGTTTATGATCTCTTATAGAACTTTGAAATGAAAAGAACATTCGAAATATTGTTTATATTTGCAAAATTTTCAGACTGCAGATCTATCTCGAAATCCGAAATAATTTTTCATAATTCGAGTCGGACATTGAAACTAATATTACTTTTATTCTATGCTAAAGCTTATCTTTATATCTTGTTTGAAAAAACATATTCGATTATTATAATTTCTAATTTTCAAAAATAATAACATTTTACTTTTAGTCTACATCAATATCGTCAAATGAATTTCGTATTGCAAATTCTCAACATGATGATGCCGATGCATTTTTTACTGATCGACAACAAGAACAACAACAATATTCAATACAACAAAAAACTGATGACGAAGAATGGGATGATACACGTCGTTGGGTTGATGAACTTGATTTAAATACTTCATTTATTCCACAACAACAAAGTCGTGGTGTTGGTCCAATAGGCATGTCACGTGATAGTCTTAGTGCAGGTAATAATCTTCTACAATCAAGTCATAATCGACGTGGACAACATATGCCAGCATCCCAAATAGCTGGTATTTCACAAGCAACACCTATTGAAATTGACTTAAAAGCTAAAATGGCTTCAATTACTATTCAACGTTGGTATCGAAAAATTCGAATGAGACGTAAAATGGCTGAAGCTGCATTAAAAAGGTTTTTAATTATTAAAAAAAAAAAAAAATGATTGTTTTGAATATTTATTTTAACAATTATTATAATAGAGTACTTGAACAAAAAAAAATTGAACATCAAGCATCAATGGAACGAACAAAAGAATTAGAAAAATTATCATTACTTGAACAGAAAAAAAATCGAGAAGATAAACAACGTCAAACACGATTAACAGCACTTAAAGTAATATTCATGTTTTTTTTTTTGTCGTAATCTTAACAAAAACATACAATATACTTTTTTTTTTATCAATCAGGAAGCACAACAACGAAAAAAACAACAATATGAAAATCATAATAAACTTGATGAACGTCGTCCATCAACACCTAATCATCGACCATCATCAGCTAAACATCGAACAAATCCTAGTTCACCACCACTTCCACCATCACCTTATGTTGACGAAGTATTGATAAAAAAATTATTTTTTTCTATCAAAACAAATAATTTATTTAATTGTTTTTTATAAAGAAAATTACATCTCCTCACTCAACATCAACATTATCTTCAACATCAAAAGTAACATTAACTGATGTTTATGATACATTAAGAAAATTAGAAGAAGTCGAACGATTTCCAATTCAACCTACACATGAAAATGATTCAGGTATGACATTAGAGATTAATAAATTTCGATTTATGAAAATATTGAAAACGTTTTCTGATCTGTCTGAACAATTTTTGTACTGAACAATTGTTACTTATTTAACTGTTTTATCAATATTTGATACTTTTTTTTTCAGTTAGTTTAATTACATCAACATAATACTGTAAAAATATTAAGAAGTATGTATGAATGATTTTGTACTCGATTACTGTTTTCACAATGCTGCATGCTTAGATCGCTATTATCGTCGGATTTTTTTAAAAATGCCAATGACTATTTTTTTTTTGTGAATAACTTTGGATCGTTTATAACTATTAATAACTCGTTTTCACCATTAGATAGATCAATGCTGGGGACGTTCATTTGTGTAATATTCATTAATTTTGAAGAAATTCTCCAGAGATATTTACAAGTGAACATTGTTTTGTTGTATATTTTTGCAACTTTTCGTAGCAACCTAGACTCAAATTATACCAAAAATGCAGCCCAAAGAGAGTTGTGTTATTTATAAAATTTCTAGATTTTAGAACATTCCTCTTGAAGCATAAGTCCAGGATGAAGATGACAACAACAAGCAATTATACAGGACGTGAAACTAGAGATGTAAGCCATCCAGCTGCGGCGCCGCCGCCGCCATTGACATTTTTAGGAGCAAAAACATTTTTGTTTTGATTGTCAAATCCGCCGCCGTCTGACCCTTCAGCTTATACCTCTACCTGAAACATTCTTCGGGTACAAATATTCTTGAAAACTTTCTTCGAACTTAATGAGTGTTACACAGATAAACGTCCTGAACATTGGTCTATCTAATGGCGAAAACCCGACCTTGATAACTATAAACAATCGAAAGTTATTCAAAAATTGTACTTGGTATTTTAATAAAAATCCAACAATAATAGCGATCTAAGAATACAGCAGTATGAAATCAGTCGGCGAGCAAAAAAACATCATCCATATAATACTTACTAGTATTTTTACAGCATTGTACCGATGTAATTAAAATGACTTGGAAAAAAAGTCAAATACTGTTGAACCAGCTATATGAGTAATAGTTAACTAGATCGTCCTGTTACAAGAACTGATGCATGCCTACTTCGGGTATTAAAAAAGAATTATTGTTTCTTGACTGAATTGTGGTTTCAAAAACAGAACTTATGATTTGATCTGAACATTGCCTGAGATTTAGTCGACATCTAGATGAGATAATAAACAAAAAAAAGAAAGAAATTTAATTAGTTATATCGCAAATAATTAATAAATTGATCAGTAAATATCTCTCAAATTCGATTAGATTTTGAACATTTTCTTTAAAGATATGATTTTGAAAACCACTACTAACAATTAATTGTTGAATTTTATATTTAATTTAGCTTATTTAATCGATCCAACATCATTTGTCGATGAATTACCACCACCACCACCTCAAGCTCCAAACCGAGTTAATTCAATTTTATCCTATTTAGATGAAGCTAATCGAAATGATGTCATTGTTGAAAGTGTCCGATCACAAAAATCGACAACACGTGAAACATCAACACCTGCTACAGTTCGTTTTACAACTCCGCCTCAATCAACTCGACAACAACAACAACCAAAAAAATTATCCCAATCAGTTGTTATAACTCAAAATCGATCGTCACCATCAGTTGATCAACAGACTAAACAAGGAACTAAAGTAAATATAATAAAAACACAAAATTTCATTTTGAAATATTTCAATTTCAATAAAATCTAGATCACAACACCACATAAATCTTTAATGGTTGCTGTTCAACCAGTAAAATCAACCGAAGAAGATTTTGAAGATGATGAAGGTGAACTAACTCGAACAGCTCAAGATGTTACAGAAACAGTTTTACAATTAAGAATGGATAATGAAGAAAAACAACGGCAATTGATTATTCTACAACAACGATTAGTAAATTAATAATTTGAAAAGAAGAACTATTAAAATTTTCATATTATATTTAGAATCAACAACGTGAATTAAATATTCGTCATGCAAAAGAATCCGAACGTGAATTAGAACATCGTTTACAATTACAAAAAGATGATTATGAAACTACTGTTCAACGTCATTTAACATTTATTGATCAGGTTTGTTAAAAAAATCTTGCTTCAGATAGTTATACACACAGACAGTTGCTCACTTTTCTTCGTATCATTCATCATTAGCAACTATTTGAAGTGTTTTATATAGAGTGCTGTACGGGTGCACTTTTTTCCACCCGAAACCGAACCGGAGCTTTTTTTCCGTACCCGAGCCCGAACCGACCCGACAACTCCGTACCCGAACCCAAACCGGACCCGAATAACTCCACCCGGTACCCGACCGGCAGCCGTTTATAAGTATAACACACCCGGCTACCATTATCACGTATAATCA